AAGTAATGTTTGAAAAGCCCTTGGAGATTCTATGATTCTATGAAGCCTTGCTTGAACTCGGACATACTGGAGTCAAGGAACTGTGCATAGGTAGGGCTACGACATCGACACAGGAGCCATGTGTTTCTGTCTGTCACCTTCTCTGTTAGAAAACAGGTAAGCTACCTTGTAAAAAAGAGGCTGGATTCAGCTCCAGGTTAACAGTCATTGAGGTTCGCAGACACTACAGACATTTGGCTGACCAGCCACTGGATGTCTAGTACATCAGAGATAGCTGAATCATTTGCTTCTATTGAATATATTGCCACTGGCTAGTAATCTAGTCCACATGTAAGTACTCCAAGTGGACATGTAAATTCACCATAATCTCTTCCTGAATTCCACCCTGTTCTATCATACTGAAATCAAAAGGTGGAATGACCTTTATCAACTGTTCTATAGCTTCTTTGCTCTTACATTTCATTATTCCAGATCAAAAAGTAAATTAATTTTTAGATGTAAATACATGTCCTATGCCATAAATAGACATTAGGAGGAAACAAGTAAGAACTAGTGCTATAAAATTTCAATATAGGCCAAAAAGGCCTTCAGTGGGGTTTGGAACTAGATCTTAAGGTCCTTTCCAACCCTAACTATTCTATGATTCTATGAAAATGAGCTCATTCTCGTCGATAAACTAAATATATGTATTCCATAGGATCTATAAAATGTGGGGGTTTCAACATTGCAGAAAAGCTCCACACAACAGAGATAATGGAGGATCAGAAGCTTCCAAAGACAGAAACTAGACAAGATTAAGATTCTACAGATTCATACAGGCAAACCAGGAGATATGACTCAAGCCGACAAAGTCATAAATGATACGGAGGTAAATGAAAACAAAATTAACCACTACTTTTATAGCATAAACAGTAAGGCACATAGTAACTATATATTTAAGCAGGCATAAAAAACCCGAAGAAGTGCTTCAAAGGGTATATAATTACTTTGTCAGACTCAATGCCATATGGTATTATGGATGTTAAAAGAATAAGTAGCTTCAAAAAAGATTAGATGAAGTCTATAAGGACAAATTCCCCAGTAGTTATTAAACATGACAGCCTGGACACCCTTTCTAGCTGTGAAAATCCTAAATGCTGAAATGAAGTATCATTAGAGCAATTAATATGCTTGCTCAGAGTTCTGTATTTTGATGTAAGCTGCAAAAAGTCACTGTTGGAGGTAGAATGTTGGAGCCTAAACCACCCAGGCCCTTGGGCTGACCCAGCAAGGCAGCTTATGTAACTTGTGAACAGCTTGCTTTTTTAAGCACAGCACAGTACTCCTTGACTGGACTTCTACCACACCCAGTTTAGACGACAGAATCACAAAATTACTCCAAATGACAGCACAACCGAGGTTGGAAGGGATTCATGAGTTGCAACACAAAATTTGGACTTGTGGAAAGAAACCATTCATGAATGTAATTAATTATAACACAGCAGGTTCTATCTGAAAATGGTGGAGTCTCTGTCCTTGGAGATACTCAAAAGCCATCTAAACACAGTACTGGACAACTGGCTGTAGGTGGCCCTTCCTGAGCAGAAGGGGTGGACCAGACGACCTCCAGAGATCTCTTTCCAGCTTCCCACATTCTATGATTCTGTGATTCTTTGAATTGGTAAGGGAGAAAGCGTATCAGCAATTTCCTGTCTTGAGAGTTACTCTGACAGAAAAGCGCCACTAGAAGGCCTGCTGTGTTTTTATGCAGTGGAGACATCATACAAATATCCTAGTTTCAGACCTTTTTTCCAATTAGTAGCTCTGGGAAGAAGGAGATTGAGACAGTCTTTTGTAACTGACTGTAAGCCCTGGACTACTTTGCCCTTTCAAGACTGAGAAGAAATATATTCCTAACAGCAGTCCATCCACTTTCTCCATAGCAGTTCAAGGACGCAAAAGTATTAGAAGTCTGAGAATCAATACAAAACTTCATTCATCATATGATGGATATTCGGAAGTGGTCTGATGCCCAACAGAGCATCTGATCCCTTCATAACTGTGATTCAGAACAATATTGAGGGAGAGTACCTCCTCTAAGAAGAATGACGTGTTGGGCTTTTTTTATCTGAAACAGTAAATCTGAAAGTGAATAAATTCACTTTTCTGCTAATGTTTATGGATGGACAATGATGGAAACAGGAATGGAGTTGAACAGGAGGGAAGAAGCTCTCTACTAGGTGGAAGTGATTATGAAATCACCACCTAAATGGTAGCAGTTATTTCCAGGTGAAGGAAATCTGTGATTTTATCAATTATTTCCCTCCACCCTCCCTGTACAGTTGGGACAGAATTAACCTTTTTTTATTTTATTTATTTTTTAATTTCACGGAGTAGGATTAATTCAGTTTGAAGCCAGCTACTGATCTTTTAGTGAATTAGTTTATTTCACAATCTATTTTTATTATCCTAAACAGACAGCAAAATCAAGCATTTAACTAATACACACAGTCCCCATGTAGTAGAGAAATGCATGCATAGTACACAAATTTGAAAACGTAGTCTTCTGTATCAACACATGAAAATCATTGCTGTTTTAGCCATGCAGTACCAACACACAATACTTTAACAAGTGGATGTGTAATTTAGAAAACTGTATCAGCTATCTATCTGTACACACAGACACACATATATATTTATTACCCAGAACAAAATAGAGGGAAATGGCAAGCACTCTCTCATACTTGTCAATATTTACAGTAAAGCACTTGCAAAATCTTTATTCAGCAACATTAAAATCATTCTTGTGACTAGAGACAAGTAAAGTCTTTCCTGTGAGTCTTGCACTTCTGCTTACAGCAAATATTTTCCCACTTAACACAGTGAAAATAGTAAAGACACAGCATTTTACCACTAATTGCCTGACTGAAAGTCGTATTAATGTTTAGCCAATTGCTAGTCCACGCATTCATGCCGTTCAAATAATATCATGCAAACCCCTTTTTTTTGCTAGTTAACTAGAAGTAATAGCAGAGGCAAAGTCTAGTGATCTTAGTTGCTGAATGGCCAGAACAAGGAATTGAGCTTTTCCTATCAAGCTACATCTGCAGCCTCCAGTGCCTACTAGCCACGTTATTTCAAAGGAGCCTCTTTGTCCCTTCTGGGCCTCATTTTCTCCCCTTTCAAAGACCAATATTAACTGCAGATGCTCACGGGATGCTCAAGATAAAACATTTAGTGTGAGTTACAGATATTGTATGCCCAGACAGTGTCACATTCAAATAGTGTAATTACTATTGACAATAATGCCACATTTACAAAAAAATTTTCACATTTACAAAAAAAATTTTCATGAAGCACTCTATCAGGCTACTCTGTTTACCTGAGCTGTGTTCACGTAAGAACTTACAACTTACTAAGAACATTGAAGTGGATAAAAATATCAGCCTATTTCAATACAAGATTTAAAAAAAAAAAAAAAAAAGAAAAGAAATGAAGTTCAGTATCTACTGAAGAAAGTAAACAGAGTAGTGAGGGGATGACTTCTAGTAACATCTGGCATGCAAACAAATGGTGGCCATGCAAAACAGATTTATTAATATCAGTATCAACGACTAGCCATCATAAAGCATGTAATTTTATTAGAGTAATCATAATTCATGACCATGATCCTAATGTTCTTCTCTTTCAAACAAAATATTACATTTCTATGAAATACTATTCTTAGTACTACTTCTCTAATAAAATTATAATATTGCAAATGCAAAATATTATAAACACTCAGTATATAAAAGCTTAACAGTTTCAATTACAAATGCATTTTTTCTGAAGGAATTAGCAGAGATGGGACACGAGTCCCTAAATAAGAAAAGTCAGCTGCAAATTATGTAGTACTACTAACAACAATTTCTAATATGACCACTAGGTGGAAATATTGTACTTACAGTTGGGGATGTGGCTGCTGACAGCAATGGTAAAATTCCTCCACAAGCAATAATAATATTGTCTACCATCTGGGAAATGAGGTGTATTGTGTTGTGTACAAAAATAATATTTTCATTGCTATTGACAAAGTCCATCACAGACTTTGTGGAGTGACTGTAAGAACAGAAGAAAGGACGAATTAAAAAGATTTAAAATAAAGCTTTAAATAAATTTATTCTTTGAAACCAGACCATGACTCTTTAAGATAAAGGCAAAATCTGGTCTACAGAACTTTGCATGTAAATGGTCTAAAAATATGAACAGGACTAGTCTAATGAACAAATTGATTGCTATCTATTTTCACACCAGGATTTGTTTCAGATATGCAGCTGAGAACAACAGCTCATAATCTTTAAACTCATCAACCAGTACTTCACTTTACAGGTAGTTCTGCTGAAAGCAGTGGCGTTGTTTCTTCAGTGTGAAAATTATTACTTAAAATTAACAGTTAGGGTGCCATTTGAGGCACCCTTGATAACTCCTAATGAGAACACCTTACAGTGTTTTACAGGAGAAACTTGATAATACGGCAATACACTGATCTATTTTTAACTTTATTAACAAATATTAAATTTAGCATTAGCAATTGCTTTGCAAGCCACAGATGCTAACAAGATTAGCTGAAATCTCAGCAACTGCTAATTGGTGAGAAATTGTCCCATGAACCAGTCACTCCCCCAAAATATAAAATACTCCATAAAAATATTAAGGAACACTCAGTCTGTAAGTATATTATTTTCCCAAAACAACATTGTTGCCAGCCACTAAACAAAAATTAAAGGCTTTAACTGAAAATAGACAAACTGAATTTTGATCTCCAAGCATCACCTAAACACAAAGTATAAACCCCTCCCACATATTTGGCCAAAACCAAATTATCAGAATTGTCTATTTCTTAGCAACTATCACAGAATAGTTTACCAAATTTGAAATTAAATGCAATATAAATTGGTCCTTGGACATAATTATGCTCAAGTTTTCTGAAAATGAACTATTCCATCCTGGAAATCAGATTAGATAGTGTCTATTATACCTAAGGGTTCTGGTAACAGTAAGTTATTGAGTATCTCTGTTAAAGTGTACAAAAAGACTAGGAAATCACATTGCTGTCATAATACAAAACTACCTTTTTTTATTACTAAAACTAACCAGGAGCTGACCTGCAAAAAATAATTATCAAGTAGAAAGAGCTGAAAATGCTATTTAAAAACGTTTTTATTTATAAGGTTTATTTATAAGGTTTGCAGAGAAGCTCTCTGAATTATCAGTTGAAGAAAATGGCCATTTGGAGATACACAGATCTTCCTCATGTCTGAAACAGAAGTAGCTGATTCTAATGCTAAACACAGGCTGAAAGAGTGGTTCATTTTAGTTAGGTACATATGACTTATACAATCCCTCAAGAAAACAGAAATTGTTACCTGTGAAATAGAGCAGTTACAGGCTGGGAAGGGGTGAAAAGAGAAAACACAAGATACTGAAAAGCATTTCACTTAACACCAAATCTTTCCCTTCCCACTATCCCAATAATACCCTCTCTACAACACATCTTATTTTTTCTTGTTAATGGAAACACAAAGGATTTAAAGAAACAACCACCAACCTTCTCCAAACATGTACATCTGTTTCTAGTGCAAAAAGCAAGTCTGTCAGGAGCCGCTGGTGCATGGGAGACCATTTAAATTCTGGAATACGAAACATAGTTGTGCGTGGACCTGGACTAAACTGTCGTCGCTGTTCTTCCGTCATTGGCATTCCTCGAAATCCCAAGTCAACACGTAAATCCCGGTCTTGCTGGGTGACAGATCGACCCTGTACTGCCTACATCAACAAGAAGTTTAAAAACCATGTTAACTTTTTGTAATGTGTTTTTGAATGGATCATAGAATTCAAGAAAGGATGCGCTAAAACTGGAATCAAGCACAAACTAAAGGAGATACTGATATTCCAAGGCAAGAAGTATCCTTCAGTAAAGGAGCTGATCCAATTCAAGTCAATCAGCACTGAGGGGCTACGGCTGGCCTCCTCTTCAGCTATTCACCAAGGTTTTACACTCAGATTTTTCACTGGACATATTACAGAAAAAACAAATGCAGCACGTACAAAGTCAGCAGTTGCAAGACTTTGTTTCTTTGTTTTCAGGAAATAACTATTTTGTGCTAATAACACAATTTTCTTTGAATATCTGACTCAAAACTACACAGTGATGGCTTCAAGAAATCTGTGTACTTTTAGACAGCTCCTCATTTTCCAAACCAATTTTTTTATTCTGGTCTTTTTAGCAGGATCATTAAAAAATCAAGTTTAGTCTCCCAAATCTCATTTTACCAATTTCGTTACACGTTGCTAATTGGTTAACAGTTTTATGGATCCTCAGGACAAGCTTAAGATTCTCCCAACAGATGGCAGATGTGAATTTCATTCCCTTTCAATACTTCCATAGTCTTGACTGTTTCCAGTTGGAGATTAAAGACAAAAGTAAAAGACACACGTATTATGTGTACACACATTGCTATGATGGAGAATAACATGAAGGAAAAAGCAGTAAAGAACAAACGTTTTGACTGAATTTGAGGCAAATATTCATAATGACAAAATTACTTACAATGTGCAACGTGCCTGAAAGGAAGAAATACAATGTCTGATCCTTGAAATTATTTTAAAGTGACTTTAGATTAGTTAAATACTGGCAAAAAAAAAAAAAAAGCTCACACATTTGCTCACACATTTGCTCACATATTCATTTTCTGATGTCAGCATACTGTTTAAAATCTGGACATTTAAAAGCAAAAAGGGGTTTAGAAAATGTTTGTAGTAGCAATGTAAAAATGGACATGGCTTTGGAGTTGAGCTGGAAAGCTTCTTAGATCTTTAGTCTGATTTTGATCTTCTGTAGCCAGCATTCTGAGAGCAGGGCAGGTTTCCTTCACTCAGTTTGACCTATGGGGATCAAAACTGGTACTGTTGCTTTCATTTTCTACATTTTTCTTAAGCGTTATCTTTAAATTATTCATTTTTTATTTTTCAGACTTTAATGAATATTCTGCATAGTGCTTTCAATTCTATTTTCAGTTCTTCCTAGTTGGGACCGTAAGAAAGAGTTAATTTTATATTCTTCAGTATTTGGTCTACTAATGATAAAGGCATTAACTCTTCTTAGAAGAAAGCAGGAACTATCTCTGCTGTGCAATTTGCTGCTTCCTTTCAGTCCTTTTCAATAAGAAACAGCTTACTTCTTACTGATAAGGTGGGGAGCTGATTGTAGATCTGGTATTAGAAAATCTGAGGTTAGCAACTCCATTCACATGCCAATTGTTCTGTTTTGAGTACAACTACAGGTAGCTGTCAAGTCAGCAGCAGTAATGGTACCATTACAGAAGAGCTTTAATCTAGTCAAGATAGTTTAAGGAAGTCTGCTTGACTTTAAAATCCTAGAAGATAAATTCTGGGGTATATACTGGACATACAGTCAGCTAGCAAAATCCTGAAGGTAGTCAATTATTTTACCTGATAATATCCTTGAAACAGTCTTTGATTGTGTGCTATGGTTTCTGAACAATTCCAGTGAGGAAATTAATCCTGTGCTTTAAAAGTTCAAAGGGATCCTGTACTTTGCTGTGTATACAGAGAAAAAATTCTTTCAAAGACTAGTCTTCTGCTTTGGCCTTCCTATTTTCATAATGCTTTGGCTCTCAAAATCACTTATTTCTCAGAATTTTTCAGAGGAGACACGGACAAGAAAGGACCTCCAAGAAGAAAGAGATACTTCTTAAGTTAATCATCTCTTGTCTGGAAATCAAGTCTCAGTTTTTCTTCTATTATTCCTAAATTATGCCTTTTCTTGTGTTAGGATCAAATATGGAGATTATTTATGCCAGCATTCCTGTATGAGAAGAAAGACAGTGTACTAAAGTGCTGCAAGACTACACTCTGAGAAACGTACAGTAAGAAACCACTTCAATGTGTATTTCTCAGTAAAATATAGGTATTTCTAATCTTAAGACATAGTAACAAGGTAGTCTAAAGCAGAACTCTAGGAGTATCAGTTAATCTGTCCAGCAGAACTAAGGAAAATGGATGGTGAGAGATTCTCTTAGCTGAGTTTTTTTTGAACTAAAGAATCCACAAGTAAAATACATATTTCCTATATAAATATGAAAGACCTCACAGTCCTTACACATTATGGCATTTTCAAAGCAAACAGGCTTGGAGGATGAACACCTTTTATATAATTAAAGGAATATAGTTCAAACATCTCTCAGATCTCATAATACTAATTTATCCAGCAGCAACAAATAGGGGTTGTATTAGACACATAAATGGCTACAGCCCTTGAAACTTACCTGGGTTGTGGTAGTTGTCTGGATCTTCCGTATCTCCTTTCCTGCTTCCTTACCATCATCAGATCTTTCTGTATCTGATATTATACTTCCTGCATCAACACTAGGTACAGTTTTGCTACCAGAAGACTCTGTCTCAAGAGTCGTGGCAGTCATTTCAGCATATTCTAATCCTTTAGATGATGAAGCCAACTCCCTCTCAGAAATGCTACTCATTCCATCTGAAGTTGTGTGAATCTTAAACTCCTTGTCCTCTATTATACTTGAAGTACATGTTATATCTACACTACCCGTCATGTGTGCAAGCAATCCCAAATCATCATTTACACCAAGATGCATCTGTGTCTCTTGCACATTTGGAATAGAAATGTGATTACTTGAAAGTTCAGGTAGAAGTTTTTCCTCTTGACTAGGTATTTTATCAAAGAGAAATGAGGTACTGTTGGTAGAAGGTTCATCTTTCTCATCAGCCAGAGTTATTAATGGACCATTATCTTTTTCCTCATTCTTCTTAATGATACCCACACTTCCATGAACATTGTTTTGGAGCTTCTCAACAGCAGCACTATATACATTGTCTAGAAGAGATTCGACTTCTACAAGTGCACCATTTTCTCCAGTTACTAGTGTCTCTGGTGATAAATCCATATCATCAAGTTTTACTTCAGTAGCTTCTACCTTTTCAGCTTTTATATCAACTAAAAGATCATGAACTTCCACATGAACTCCTCCTCCTGGTCTCTCAGCACTTCCAAGCACATCATCCGATACCTTCGTAGCCATGAGCAAGTCCCTCGTATCTGTACTGACAGGGTAATCTGTTTCACTTTCTGGACTTTGACTTTGCGAAAGGTCTTCTATTTCTCGAATTTCCATTCCACCTTTTGCTCCTGTTGTCTGAGAGGAAAGACCTGAGATGGTGCTCACATTCCCTTTCTTCCCCTTTTTAATGTTTTCTTCCTCTTGCCTTTGATACTCTTCATACATTTTTGCTAGATATTCCTTGTGAGCCTCATATGTAACCTTAAAAAGAAAAGGACAGATTATGTGGGTGAGTAGATGCTACATGAACTTGGACAAAACCTAACAAGAATCTTAACATACATTATATACAGCTTACAAATTGTTTCACAGCAAAGGCCCCTACAACGATGACAAAAAATTCCACCTTGATATGTGTGGAGACAGCCACCAGATGGCACTAAATCACTTTACATCTCTTACTATATTGCTAGTCCCTTTGCAGGGGTTGCCACAATTAAAAGAAACATCTAAGCGCCATTTCTTACCTTGGAATGAGCTATAGAAAGCGTATCCACCCACACTCTCCAGCCTCCCCATTCATATTTTATTGCATGATACAAGAGAATACGGAAAATGTTGTAAACCATCTCTGTGATCTTCTGCTCTTCAGAATTCTTAGGGTTAATGTATCCCAGAGAAAACATCCAGTCCTGCCACACTGAACACTGAAGTAAACATCTAAAGTGAAATAATTAGGTCAAAATATATCCACAAAAAGCTTCTTTATTTTAAAATTATGATGGTTAAAATGGGAGGAACATCTCCTCTGAACATCAATCCAATGGTAGGAAGAAATTTAAAAATACTTCAGGATGAATAAAAATTTAAAGCATAGTCTAAACAGAAGAACCCAGTATTAGTTGCTGAACTGAGAAAAGTTACCATAAACCTATTCCATTTATTCTGTATGTATTCCATTTAATATACAGTATAAAACCCTACACAGAGATAACAGACTGCTATTACCCACAAATCAAGGATGAGAAAATACTATCTGTAGTGACATACCTTCTGTTTTCACGGCTATTACTAAAGAGTTTTATCATATCAGATAAGAACAAACGTCGAACTTCCATCAGCTCTGCACTTGGTGTGGAGTTTTTTAACAGCGTTGCCACCACCTTAAGAATCACTTTGAAAGAATAAATTAGTTACGTAACACATTTTAACAACATTAGAAAGAAAAAGTTGCTGACAGCAAGTAACGTAAGTAGCAACTGAAACCCGTATGTATTTCAAATACACTAATGAATTATTCTTGCTTCCTGAACCATATTCTTTCAAAAAACTACACAACCTCTAGGCAATACATTTATCATACAAACATATATATTGTCCTTACTTGGATTCTGAATTTTCACTGTAGAATCTGGCTCTGGATGTGGTTTATGAACAACTTGAGTGCATACTTGTTCTGTCAAAATCTAAAACAGAATATTAAGTTCCTTTTACCGTTTTTAATGAAATGTAACAGCATTCCTTTGCTTATTTTAAAAATTGTTAAGGACATTTACTATGGCCACACTGTAACTTCATATAAAACACTCTGGTAAAATATTTTTATTCTTAAAGAATGGAAACAAGCAATTCCTCTATGCAAGGATCAGCATTTTCATGGTTGTACAGTAGCTGGTTAACTAACTCACTAGTTAGCTAACTAAATATACAATAATGTTTTTTTAAAAATAATTTCATTTGTATTCCTTATAGTATTACACTTTCATGGATCAAAAATTCTTTCATAAGCTCTGTATATCAAAAGTTATTTTCATACATTCCATCCATAACCAAACCAAGTAATTCTTGAAAGTGGGTTTGGTTTTCTCCAGCTGGGAAAAGAGAAACAGTCACAGACAGCATCCCTAAGAATAATCCTGGGGTTTCCCATACTGAATAAGACAGGTCATTGTCCTGTTTCACATATTGTACCTGACAATCTAATTAATCTGTATTGAGGCAATGCCACAGACCTGTAACACTGGGATACCTGTTAATGGTTCTATGCATGCAACTTTATTTTTAAGAACAAGCTAAAAATTTAATGATATTAATATGGGTTTGTCAGTAAGTATATTCAAGCAAATATATTTCAGAACAGAATAATTTCACTAGTAATTATGATTTATTTTAAAGCAGAACTTTAGCTCATTCATTAATCAATAATCAATACTCAAACTAATGCCAGTAGTATACACAGTATCTTTGAATGGGTCTTTACATAATTGTATTTAAAATAGGAAAAAAAAGCAACCTATGCCACTGCTTGTTATGAGAGAACATAGGAAATATCTGCATCGGTTCCTTGGCAAACCTTTTGTACTCATGGCACTTAACTCCTTTTTTACCTCTTCTGGCTACTTTTTAAAATGTACATCTCTGTGCATGCTGAACTCCATAAAGATTTTTATTTTGTCACTGTGTTATATGTTTTCTGAGCAATTAGAGAAGCTCTCATAAATATGCAGTGACATCTAGACCGTAAGACTCAAGTAGTTAAAACACACTGGATAAGCTTAGATATGCACAATACAGAAGAACTTGATGTCTGAGTAAGACACCAGCAAACAGATGACATTCAGGTTTTTACAATCATATAAGAACATTTTCTAGGTCACTCAGACTCAGAACCCAAAGTACCAAGCAATCCTTTAGTCTTCCATGTCTTTTCTAGAGACAATCCTGCGTATTTAGTCAGCACACCTATTTGTGCCTAAAAATAACTAGAGAGATAATCTTTCTAGTGCATGAGATCCTCAGAAAACGAAGATTCAATTCTAAGTCACTATTTAAAAAACGGAAGATTGAACATGATTCTTATGCATTTGCAGGCATGCGGACATGTTTCTGTAACACTTGATGTTGACAAAATTTTGCTTTAACAAAACTGCTCATCATCCTAACTGAGGTTTCTGCAAGTACCTTACAAGAATATCTGAATGATTTGAGGTCATATTCACTCGCCTCAAGCAGTATCTATTACGTAAAAGCGACTGAGTTCCATTATCATTTTGCAATACTATCAACCACTAGTAGTTAGAAAAACGGCACTTTAAAAGATTTTGTAAACTTGAAAGGAATGGCAAAAAAAGAAAAATGAAAAAGAAAAAAAAAGCATCTCTTTAGCTTCAGCACTTTCCATTGCAATGGAAACAAACTCCTCAAAACAATGGAGGAGAAAGAGCAATTGGAGGTCTACAGTAACTTTGTTGTTGTGGAAAGTGATGAACATCTTAAATAGCAGGATGTAATGCTGTAAGTGGAAAGCTTTATAGAGACTATGTAAAAATTATGACATTGTTAATAAAAATACACAAAGCATCGCAAAATACACTCTCAATAAAGAAATCCTTTCTTAAAATTTCTATCAAAAATTTTCTCAAAAGTCTTGAGAATCATGATATTGTAAAGCACAGTCACAACTAATTAAGTCATATTTTTTACAATAGAGATGACAATCTCTGTGTTTAATAATTTGTACCTCATAAAGTGTGTTATATGTTGTAACGGTCACTGTATTTGTATGCAGCATCAACCTTTCTCCAAGGAGTGTGAAAAGACTGTGGGTATGCATGATTTCAACCTTTCGCCTGGAGAAGAAAACAAAAGCATTAGGAAAATGCCTTGAATATTTTAGTAAATGCAAGAAACCCCAAAATCCTAATACATTGAAGTTGTACTAAAAAGGTCTCAAATTTTTAATCTGTAAATATTATAAAATAAACATAATTTAAGATCTTTACCAATATGAACATGATTGCAGTAATATACTAAGATTCTCAAAAAGCAACACTGTATATAAGACGGGCTGTTATATAACATAGATCACACACTATTCTCACCCTCCATGATTTTCACAGTGGAAAAAGACAAAGGACCTCATAGCAGCCTTCCAATATCTGAAG